ATCTTCGGACGCCCGCACGATATTTCTTTTGAGTGATAGGGATCCAGGTGAGAATGGAGTCAAAATAATCGAAGTCATTGCGTTTACATTGTTAAATACCTACGTGTCCAAGGTAATGATTGGCTTAACAAGATACAATCGGTAATTGTATAACATAATTACATAACTAATAACATAATTACAAATATATTTATCTTATTTTTTCCTAAAACAAATACTTACTGCTGCACTGGCCGCTCACAGGAGACCACGACGAGGAGGCCAGGCAGGTAGAGGAGAGCTTCCCTCGCATCAGGTATCCCTCCTTACACCGGAAGTGAACGCGGTCCTGGTAAGCGTAGGAACTCGGGGCAGACGGTGGCAGTTCGGCGTTGGGGGGGGCGATGGGGTCGACGCAACGCACGCCTGTCAAGGGGGATGGGAAACAAGGGGCTTAGTGGAGGGGGGGGGGGGTTGCGCATGGGCGGGAGAGGAGACCGGTGTTGGGGGGAGGGGCCGAGCGGGAGAAAACTGAATGAAACAGGTGTTCGGAAATATTCAGTTGTCTTTGGTGTAGTTAATCTGACCCTTCCTTTCTCTCTTTTGCTCTGTATGTTTGTCTGTCTGTCTGTCTCTGTCTTTGTCTGTCTCTGTGTCTGTCTGTCTGTCTGTCTGTCTCTCTCTCTCTCTCTCTCTCTCTCTCTCTCTCTCTCTCTCTCTCTCTCTCTCTCTCTCTCTCTCTCTCTCTCTCTCTCTCCACTTGGGAAGGATCATTGGTCAGCCAACCCAGTATAAAGACCAAGTCAACTGCATGATGTCAACATTGCGACAAGTAGTTCGTCAAACATGTGTGTGTGTGTATGTGTGTGTGTGTGTGTGTGTGTGTGTGTGTGTGTGTGTGTGTGTGTGTGTGTGTGTGTGTGTGTGTGTGTGTGTGTGTGTGTGTGTGTTTATGTGTGTGTGTGCGTGTTTATGTGTGTGTGCGTGTTTATGTGTGTGTGTGCGTGTTTATGTGTGTGTGCGTGTTTATGTGTGTGTGCGTGTTTATGTGTGTGTGTGCGTGTTTATATGTGTGTGCGCGTTTATGTGTGTGTTTTTATGTGACCACACGTAATCCTGTGAAAATGCCGGACACCCCCCACCCCCCTTTTCTGCATCTGAGACGAGGGAAACAGAAGCACTCACGCTCGCAGGCGGGGACCTCGGAGGACCAGACGCCGGATTCGCCGCACGTCGCCTCGTCTTGGCCGCGCAGGACGTAGCCTTTCTCGCAGGCGAACTTGACGCGGTCTCCGTAGAGCGTCAGGGCGCCCATCACGAAGCCCTTGTGAGGCGGCTTCACTTCGCCGCAGTCCACGCCTGTTGTAGATTCAGACAAAGGGATAAAAGTATTGTCAGTGATGTGAACGTAACTCGCTGGGAGCTCATGCATTAGGGATGTTGTATTTTCTAGAAGCCAACCATATACCAATGAAGTATTTCACTTTACGATGTGGTGAAACTCTTCCGCCAGCGTCTACACTTTCATGCGCAAGCAGGTCACGGGTCACTAACGGTGGCACTGTGGGAGGTTGCCGCTCCAGCTCGCGTTGGCGTTGCAGGTCCTCGTGTCGTTGCCGAAGAGCTCGTAGCCTGTGTCGCAGTGGTACAGCGCCTCAGCACCCAGGTCAGTATAGGTTGACTCCACCTGGCCATTTGCCGGAGCCTGCAAATGTGTCGACGGGATGAGATTACTAAAAATGAGTTAAATAGAGTCACCGCAGTCCCAGCTAACGGCTCCATTCAAGAAATATTATCAGAGAGGCGTAGGCCAGCACGCACCTCCGGCACGCCACAGTCCACGGGCTGGCACACCGGCATCGCCCCCTTCCATGAGCCGTCGACGTCGCACTCGACCGACGGATTCCCGACGAGCATGTAGCCGTACACGCACGAGTAGTTGGCCACGCTGCCGAAGGTGAAGTGCTTGGCGGTGATCTTGCCGTAGCTCGGGATTTCGGGCTCGTAGCAGTTGACGGGCTGGCAGGTCGTGCTGAAGGACAAGGGGAGGGTGAGGGCGCGTGCGCTGCTATGCTAGCGTAATGCAGAGAGTGTGGTGGCGGTACGAAAACAGACACATGGGAATGGACGATCCATCTGACCAGTGGGTTTTCTTTTGACTTGATTACAGAAAGCAGCTGATATATATCGTATGAATTATCGGTCTGGCCAATGTGATATATTTATAATGACAAATACACATACACATACACACTATCTATCTATCTATCTATATAGATAGATAGATGAGATGAAGACTCACTTATAATCTTGCCATTTCCCCAGACTGCAAGTCACGAAGCTGTCGCCCACGAGATTGTATCCCGGCAGGCAGGAGAAGTGGGCCGCCTGCGGCCGCGTTTTGTCGTCCCTCGTGACGGAACCGAGAGCCAGCGCCGGGGATTCCTCGCAGAGCCTTTCCACGCAGGTGTGCGAGCCTCCCACCCAGTCGCCGTTCACTTCGCATACTTGGTACTGCGCG